GGATGAGATCTTTTACTATTTAATTACTTGTTATTCTTTTAGCACTCTATACATATGCACTGGTTCATACTCTCTAACAAGGCTTCCTACTACATTCAAATTTCTACCAAAAAAAACCCTGTGCAATTAAAAATAGCCCTGCTTCTGTTCCACCAGTCAGAGCCTTCCAGGGGCAGGGTCCATGGAGGGGAAGTACAAGAAGTCATATAAAAGTCAGGATGGCAGGTTTCGTGTCCAATTGAAGCCCCACCTTTATTTATATATGTATCAAAAAGAGGTGGGGCTTCAATCAAGCAGGCATGTGTTCCATCTCACCTTTTTTTAATCCTTCTGCATACATTCCTTGCTACAATTCAGGATGAGGTCCTATTCAAGAGTCACCTCATTTTGCCTCAAAAAGGCACTTCACATTATGGAGGCTATAACGTGTGCCTCACTTGAGGGAAAGCAGTGACAGAAATTATCTTGCCAATATGTTTTGTGATGCTCCTGAGATCTCTATTGAGGAGCCTCTGGTTTCTCTTCAGATCATAAAAATATTTCACCTCAGAAATAGCTATAGCAGATTTATATACCACTTCACAGTGCTTTACAGCCCTCTCTAAGTGGTTTACAGAGTCAGCCTATTGCCCCCAACAATCTGGGTCCTCATTTTACCCACCTCGGAAGGATGGAAGGCTGAGTCAACTTTGAGCCTGGTGAGATTCGATCTGCCAAACTGCAGGCAGCCAGCAATCAGCAGAAGTAGCCTGCAGTACTGCATTCTAACCGCTGTGCAGTGGCGACTCTAATAACCTAGAATTGCTATGCAAAGCCATTCTGAAGTGATGCTTTATTTAAAGCATCCCTTCCCTTCATGCATCTTAGTCTAATACTTCCCAGGGAATAAACACAATTGAAGGAAGTACTTCTGAATGGAAATTGCCCCGAAAGCATTTAATAATGCAAAAATAATTCAACTTTCTCATATACTTCATTCATTGGCTGCAGCCTGCAGGATGTCACAATATGGAATCACAATAATGTAATGATGTTACTTCCTGTGAACTAAGTAGCTAAACAATACTATTTCAAATCAAAAGGAAGATATCTATTTCTACCAGCATCTTCTTCTGTTTTTATATTTTGATTAAGAGCCGCAATGGCGCAGTGGTTAGAGTGCAGCACTGCAGACCACTTCTGCTGACTGCTGGCTGCCTGTAACTTGACAGATCAAATCTCACCAGGCTCAAGGTTGACTCAGCCTTCCATCCTTCCGAGGTGGGTAAAATGAGGACCCAGATTGTTGGGGGCAATATGCTGACTCTGTAAACCGCTTAGAGAGGGCTGTAAAAGCACTGTGAAGCAGTATATAAGTCTAAGTGCTATTGCTATTAGAAATTATTCCCATCTAATTTACTATTTAAATTCTAGGGGTATGAATTATCTGTTCTTGTGTGCAAAGGAGCACAGGCTCAGATTTCTTTTACATCTCATTTTTGGAGTCCATGGACTAATAACAAAAAGCAAAAAATGAATATTCACCAAGTCCAAGTCATTTTATCTGTGAGGACTAATCCTAATCAAAGCACTTTGAGAGTTAATACTTTAGTAAGTATTAGTAAGTGTCTGTCTGTCTGTCTGTCTGTCTGTCTGTCTGTCTGTCTGTCTATCCATCCATCCATCCATCCATCCACTCATTTACTCAGTGTTGAATAGTCACTGGGGATATTAGATAAAATAATGTCAAAAACAAGACAAAACGTAAAAAAACAGAGAACTCCAATACTGAAATTCAACAACAGTCAATGTAGGAGACAAAACAACACATACATATCCTCCTTAAACGTCCACCTGTTCAGTGACCAGTCAAAGTTACAATGGTGCTGAATGAGAGAGTGCATAAGTGCATAACTTGCACTTATGAGGAATGCAACAACCTGCAGCCATATGATCACTATTTGCGGCCTTCACTGTCAATTTCCAACAAGCATAGTCAATGGGGAAGCTGGCAGGAAGTCACAAATGACAATCCAGGGTGCTGCAAACATAAGGGATTCACTTAAAGAAGTCAGCTGGGACTACCACAACTGCCATCTTAAATTGGCGGCACTCATGTGATGTTGGACATTTTGATTGTGTTATTAAGTAATGGAGTTGCGGATCCCAACTAACATTGTTAAGTGAGGAAAATCAATAGCCATGGGAGCAAGGAAAGGCTCTTGGATAAGAGATTTCATAAGCAGGGTGTGAGAAGGCCTTCTCTTTTGATCTCAGCTGATCACTTTTTCTACACCTAGCTAGCATGAACACACAACCTTTATCTTTTTAGAATTTAGTCTCACTGTATTGGCTTTTTTCCAGCCACTACTACTTCCAAGGAATGGTTCAGCCTGACCAGAGTTAGTTGGCAAAATCAGAGCTGGAGGTTTCCCATTCATTTCTTTCCTTCTGTTTAAAGAGACAATTAAATCATTCAGGACTAGTGAAGGATCAACTTGCTGATCATTCATCTCTAAGCCCGGATGTTAACCCTGATTAAACTAATTAGTCACGGAATGTTTGTTTTACAGGGTGATTGTAACAGAGTGTCCTTAGATGACTGTGGCTTTTTATTTTCTGTTTAAGATTGCAGGAAACAGATTTATGTAGTCAAACTGTCTAACCCAGTATTGTCAACTAGCACACTTCAGATTTTAATCTCCAAAACTACTTTGGTGGGCAGTGGCTGCAACCAAACGGCAGCACTTTTTGCCAAGTTTAAGCAACCAGACCTTGATGTCCAAGCAACAGCAGCAAATCCTTCCTCGCCTTCTCAATGAATCCATGATGCTAATTTATTAAAACCCAAAAGCCCTCCAATAGAGAGAAAGTTGCCATTTTAATTATCCAATTGAGGATTTGTAATTAGAAACAGGACTTCAGACCCCATATTATGGTCAGCGTTGAGGACATCCAAGTTGAGAATCTAGGCAAGGACTTTTATTATCTGACTTCACCCAAATGTAGTCAAGTCTGGCATCCCCTAATGATTACGGTAAGTCAACTAACAGCAGTAATTGCAAAAGGCTACTCATACATGAAGATACACCCTCATTTTCTTCTCAATCAAAACAAGATGATCTCATAATTCCTGCCATAAATTGTGTGCGCAAAAGGCCGGTGCAAATGAAGCTTACATTCTCCAATAAATAAACTATTACCTTCTCAAGAGAAAGAATTAAAAGCAAGTTTGCTAGCCGCATAGTCCACAGCAGGATGCACCTATTTAGGGGTGGGCATTCATAAGAATTTATTCTGCCATTGCCCTTTATTCGAATATGAATTGGAATGCTAAGCAGTTTTGAGAAATCACCAGGAAATTGTTGTGACTCTGAGGAGAAGAACCATTTTGTTGTGATGAATAGGGGGAAAAAATACTATCGATTTGTTCTATAGTATGAGAGGACGCAGTGGCTCAGTGGCTAAGACGCTGAGCTTGTCGATCAAAAGGTTGGCAGTTCAGCGGTTCGAATCCCTAGTGCCACATAACGGGGTGAGCTCCTGTTACTTGTCCCAGCTTCTGCCAATCTAGCAGTTCGAAAGCACGTAAAAAATGCAAGTAGAAAAATAGGGACCACCTTTGGTGGGAAGGTAACAGTGTTCCATGCCACATGACCATGGAGATGTCTTCGGACAGCGCTGGCTCTTCGGCTTTGAAACAGAGTTGAACACTGCCCCCTAGAGTTGGGAACAACTAGCACATATGTGCGAGGGGAACCTTTACCTTTATTTTTTATGAGAGGATAGACTGAAAGTTATAGTGGATAAAGGTCCATTGGAAGACAAACCAATTTTGTTGGTAAGACTCTTAATAATATGGAAATAAGTGGACATCCGAGAAGAATTTGTAATGTATTGAATGAGATGCTGGAAAAGAAGTAGTCCAAAACTGAAAGCTACATGCCTGTTCATGGAATAGACGCCTCAATATAACTTCATACACTTTTCATCCCCTTTTCAAATCTTCCTATAGATTTATCTTCTACTGGCATGAAATACAATCCACATGGGAGTATTGTTGTGGAAATGCAACTACTGACAGAACAAAATTTGTTCATACCTAAGGTAGATTCATGGCAGATGAAGATGAAGATACCAATATGGTGGGGTCACAAAATCAGTCAAGGATGCCAAACTGCTATGAATAGGCCTGAGTTGCTGTCAGATATATGGGGGTTTCCTATTGTAGAGCATTGCACTGTAGGAAATTTAAAATAGTAGTTGTTTGAGGCCATAGGCCATAGGCACCAAGCAATCATGTTTCTCCCAGTCAAAGAATACTGTTGCAGATACAGAAGCTTAGCAGAAGCTTGTGATAGGGCTCCAGAAAGAACCGGTTTTGTTACAAAATTCCAAAGATGGACAGTGACCTTGAAAGAGGACATTCCAGTCCTTCCTCTCCCTGCATCTGTATATGCAATACTTCCAGGTACATCAGACTGGAGAGATTATGGTTCCCCAGAATTCACCACTGCTGCAGTATGGCCAATGATGAGAGATATCGGGAGATCTAAATAGTTGAGAGTACAGGATACAAGAGAAGAGCAACAGTTGGACATTGCTTAGAAATTCAAAGCCGAGCCAAAAATAAAAAATAAAAAAATACCCCAATAGATTACTTGAAATAAATTCAGATAAAAACTGAGTTAAAAAAAAAAATGGAAAACAGAGGTCAAAAAGACAATGGCAAAAAAAAAAAAAAAAAACCTAGCAACCCTGCCAAATATGTTTGAAAGTATGAAATAAAAGGTTAAGATCTAGTGGGAAGGAAAGACCAGCAAATGTTAATTTTTCAGTTTATCAGAGAAGGCAGAGTTTAAACTGGAACAACTCAGCTGGAACAGGAATGAAAAAGCATTAGATTTCCAAACCCCACCTCCATTTAAATAACTTTTACCTCCTCTGCAGGTAAAGATACATACACACACACATATATACCCCTCTCTCTTTTTCTCTACGGCTACGCCTACATCCACACATACATACGGATTTTATCCCACCATCTTTTCAGGATATAATATCATCATTGAAAAGGAAAAGTGTAATGATAGGTTTCCACCCAGTCTGATCTGCACAATTTGTCATCCATGATGTGGGAACTCCGCTCTGTGGCCTTCACTCGAGCTATCCTTGCTGAATTCCTAGCCACGCTCCTCTTTGTCTTCTTCGGCCTGGGCTCAGCTCTGAACTGGCCTGCTTCCCCACCAAACGTCCTCCAGATCTCCTTCGCATTTGGCTTGGCCATTGGGACCTTGGTTCAAGCGGTAGGTCATGTCAGCGGAGCCCATATTAACCCTGCAGTGACAGTGGCCTGCCTGGTGGGCTCTCAAGTCTCCTTCCTCAGGGCCATCTTCTACGTGGTGGCACAGATCCTAGGAGCTGTGACGGGGGCTGCTCTCCTGCATCAAATCACTCCGCCTCATATTCGGGGCAGCTTGGCCATCAACAGGGTAAGGATTTTACTGTCTTTAGCAATGGAAGGGCTGAAGGACTCCAGCTTTCTGGGTCATCACAATGGCCCATATAGGAAGTGTATTAATATTGGTCATGCTAATTCAGTAATGTTTATGTTGAAAGATAGTGGGTCTCTCGAATTTTTCCCAACCTAACAGTTTCTACATGCAAAGTAGATACACTTCTATTGGATTACCGTCTTTCCTTTTGAGAAACTTGGGTAAAGGAAAGCAATGCTATTTTAAAATAGGTCAGCAATTGTGCTTTCCCTGACTGCTGATTTTTATTGTACCTTTCTTCATGCATAAGAGTTACCCAGGACTGCAAAAAATCTGGACTATCACTAAATGGTTGGAAAGAGTTGGAGCTTTTGATATTACCCAGATTTTTACAATGATTGGCCCATAGAAGAAGTGGATGGGATTTGGATTTTATCTTGACTCATCAAAGTCCAATGCTATGCAGGACTCAATATATGGGGCTTAAGGTTCACAATTCATGCTGAACTATAGGCAGTTTGCTTATGATTTACCATAGTGTGTAATCCCAAGCCAGGGTGGTTGGTAAATAGTAATTTTTGATCTAGTGGGATATGGGTACTCAGTTATTGGACTAGCTCACCCTTCTCCCTAGCCTACTGGATCTCCCCATACCCAGTTCTTCCAACTGACACTGTTTTAACTTAAAGATGCCAGTAATGAAACATGTGCATTCCTGTCATGTGGAAATTCCATTAAATTGATGGTAGAAATTTCAGACTTGCAAGACTTTGTATTTTAATGAGAATTGTACTTTCCACTCTCTGGAACCTGATGCAGAATACAAATGCACCATTGGAAGATCAGAAATACTATGTTAGGATCATGCCATCACAGAGAAAAACCTATGTGATTGCTAAGAGTCAACACCGACTTGATGGACAAAACCGATCAGATTTTTAGCAACCTAACTTAGGAAAGGAAACAAAAGCCTTTTGTTTTTCTAATCGCTATATCACTTTCCTGACCTAATGTTAATCATCCAAAAACCTACCAATAGATCTTCCTGACCACTATCTAGATGTTAAAGATACATAGATTCCATCACAAAAAAAGATGTAAGATTTTACTACAGGTCTTTTCGATCCATTTTAGAGCAAGCTAGTTATTGTAAATATCATATATTTATCAACATGGATTCCAAATCTAGCAATGATCTTTGCATGTTTCTAGCATTGTAAACTTAATCCTTGCTTAACCTTTCTGGTTTCTATTCTCCCACAAGGGCCATATGCTATTTAAGGGATTAGCAGTTTGTTTCCCTGTCATATTCCAGTTCCTCTGTGAAAGCAGTACTAAGCCCAGGTTGCTATGCCTTGATTGCAATTGCTACCCAATTGCCAATATATTTATTTCTTCAGAAAAAAATTAAGTACTTCCTGATGCCATGTATTATTAAAAAGAATGGCACTTTACCAGCTTAAATAACAGGGTCCTCCCTTCTCATTGTAAATACCCATTTGCCCATTTCATAAGCTCCAGGGTCAGGTATCTTTTAACATGGTGTGGCAAATACTAGAAGATCTACGTGGTTGATATAATCATTATTTAAAGACATTCTCTATGAGCCCATAATCCCCTCTCTCCTCCCCACTTGGATGTGCTCTCCCAATTTACCAACACTGAAAGATCTTCTCATACTCTGGGCAAGGAAAAAAAAAGGAGTTGCCGTCATATCTTTTTTATTTTCTTCAAATGCCTCCTCAAAGCTAGGGATATTTCTTGAAAATAAAGGCACTTTGCAGTGTGCTGACTTTTCCTTTATATATTTTTTTAATATATAAAATTGAAATAGTTTTAAACCAGTGGTGAAATCCAAATATTTTTACTACCGGTTCTGTGGGCATGGCTTGGTGGGCATGGTGTGGCTTGGTGGGCGTGGCAGGGGAAGGATACTGCAAAATCCCCATTCTCTCCCCGCTCCTGGGGGAAAGATATTGCAAAATCCCCATTCCCACCCCACTCTGGGGCCAGCCAGAGGTGGTATTTGTTGGTTCTCCGAACTACTCAAAATTTCCGCTACTGGTTCTCCAGAACCTGTCAGAACCTGCTGGATTTCACCCCTGTTTTAAACATTAAACCAGCATGGTCACTAGCGTGACAGGTGGGCACCCTAATGCCGAAGGTCATCGTGTTAATCCATTTCTGAAATTGCCAATCATTAATAGAAAACTGGGATCATAATAAAATAGATAACATAATTATAATGGTAATATTATAAGACTGTTGCTTCTGATCTCTTATTGTATTGGCCAGCTGTCAGCCAGCTGCCTTTATTAGAATTTTGTGGTCCTGACTAGCAGCTGGCAGCTGTGCCATTTGGCACAGCATATTGCCACTAAAGTCTTCAGTCTTCATGAGGGATGGGATCATAATATTATTAGGACAATATCTTGCAAAGTCTTCCTTTTGGCATGTGGACTCCAATGAAGTGGCTAGGGTAAGTCTCCTCTCCCTTCTGGGCTGGATCTATGTCCTCCTAGTTGGGTGATCACTGAATAGAATAGAATAGAATAGAATTCTTGATTGGCCAAGTGTGATTGGACACACAAGGAATTTGTCTTGGTACATAGGTTCTCAGTGTACATAAAATAAAAGATACATTCATCAAGAATCATAAGGTACAACTCTTAATGATAGTCATAGGGAAGAAATAAGCAATCAAACCATATTAGGAAACAGTCAATATAAATCGTAAGAATACAAGCAACAAGGATTTAGGAGAAGCCAATGTCTTGTTGCAGAGGGGGTGGGGTGTTCCTGCTGTCTTGAATCTGTAGTGCACCTGCATTTTAGGAGGCCCTCCCTGGGTCCAGATGTGTTAGACAGTTTTGACCTGTTTTCAAACTTCCTTTTTTAGGGGAATTTTTGAGGCAATTGTAGGAAAATAACTGTATAAAACCCTAAATGAATGGATTATCTGCCCATGGTTCAGGCATGGATATGGCACAAAAACCACATTAGTTGTGTTAGTGGATTACCTTGTTAGATTAGAAGCTAGCAGAGATGTGTGTGTGTGTGCCTTCTGGCTCTTTTAGATCTTCTGGTGGATTTCAATACCATCAAACATGGAATATTTTTGGACTACTTGCAAGGATTGGGGACTAGGACATTGTGCTTTAGAGGAAGAAATTTCAGTTCAGTGGCCTTTGATGTATGGCACGCCGCAGACTTTGATCCCCTCCTGTTAACTTTTCAATATCTGCATAAAGCTAATGGCAGACTTCGGATTGGTGTCATCAATATGTTCATGATACCCAATTATACACTGCTACCTTGGCCAACACTTGATATGCAATCAAGATTTTGTCCAAGTGTTTAGAGGCTGTTAGGACATGGATAGGATCAAGCAGATGGAGTTAAATTCAAGCAAGGCAGAGTTGCTGGTTGTACATTGAAGATCTTTATGGATTCCAGGGATGTCTCTTGAAGGGATGGCATGGGGTCTGTGATTTGGGGGCTCCCTCTAAATTCATGGCTACTGCTGAGTGGGCAGATACATGTTGTGATCAGGAGGGTGTTTGCCCGACTCCAGCTTGTGCACCAGTTATAACCTGGAGCAGGAACTAGCACCTGCAACTCATGCTGTCATCACCACCTGATTGATGCATTGCAATGCACTTTGTGGAGACCACCAAGAAACTGTAATTGCAGTATCTCTTGTGCTAACTGGCACAGGATAACATAAAACACTTGGGCTACAAGCCCTGCGTTGGCTGCAGGTACTTCTCTGGGTGCAGTTTAAAGGGCTTATTTATGAAGCCCTGTATGGCTTGGTACTGAAGATCACCTCCACCAACCAGATTTGTCCCATCCAACATGAGAAACTTGGAAAAAAATGCTGGTACAGTCATTCCCTACTACCTGGAGATGAGGATTGCTGAAGCTGGGACAAAATGCTTTTCTGTAAGTGTTTCCATATTGTACGTATACTAACTAACTACAAGGAACCAGGTTTGCCATGATCCTGTTGGTTAGAGGCAGGTTAAGCTGCCATTATTCTGGAGACCCTTTTTAGTTAGTTAAATCAGCTTCACCTTAAAGATGATTTTTAAATAGTTATGTGATCCACATTGAAGATAATTGAAAATATTGAAATGGTTGTATTTATTATCATTATGATACTGTATTGTGGATGCTCTTGTTTATAAACAAAGATTGTTTCCTTTCCATTTGCCTATCCATAAACTAATCTAGTTAATTAAACTTCCTTGTGTTTTTAAGAACTAGTGATATCCAACAATGTCTAATTTATTAAAAAGAAACATGGTGGCACACTGGTTAGAATGCAGTATTGCAGGCTAGTTTTGCTGACTGCCAGCAGTTTGATTCTCACCAGGCTCAAGTTTGACTCAGCCTTCCATCTTTCCAAGGTTGGTAAAATGTGGACCCAAATTGTTGAGGGCAATATGCTGACTCTGTAAACCGCTTAGAGAGGGCTGTAAAAGCATGGTGAAGTGGTATATAAGTCTAAGTGCTATTGTTAATTGCTATTGCTAGTGTTTGATGATGTGGTTGAAAAAGGTTGTATTAATCACCATGAAAATCACTTGTACTGCTAGCTTGACTTCTTAACTTTGTTGATTAGGAATTCTGGGAACCCTTCAATTTATGTGGAATTTATCAGTTTGGGAAAGGTCAATAAGGCAATTTACTCTAATAAGATTAATTTATTGGAGCTGTTTTCCTGAATTGGAGCTATTTTCCTGAGCTATATGACTCCATAGTCATATAGCTCAGGAATAATTTACAAGCCCCTGGAGACATGTGTTGACTATCAAGGCATCCTCCAAGAACCATTAAATTAAAGTGCCTATTGGGAATTAAATTAATCCATAATTATTGGTGATTTTACAACACACAAACAGGAGAAGAACAGGAATGTTTGCATACTTCTAATTGTATACAAGTGTAATCTACAGGCACATTCAGTTAGGTAATCTGACAGGCATTCTTCGAAGATGAGACAATCCCCTCTGCCATTTTTAGCACTGTCAGCTGCATTTTTATTTGCCAAAATCTTGTGTAAGATATACCAGAATAGATCTCTGCCACAGGGCAAGAGACTGATTTGTAAATGCCAGTAACATTGCAACAATAATCAGATTGTTATCTGCACTAAAATGCAGATAAACATACTTAAATGACTGAACATAATAAAAAAACCTACTTGGATACCGGCTCTTTTGTTTTAATCTGGCTGGTCAGATGTATGATATTTACTTTCATATTTTGTCTCTTATTTTATTACCCAATAAAAATGTTAAACATGAGATGTACGATAGACGTAGGCTTGATTTGCAAAAAGGTATGAGAGTAATTCAAATTTAACTATCATGATCCCTTAATATTGCAGCTCAATAACTAGGTATTTCATCTAAATCTGAGTTGTGAGAATATTCTTCGTTTGGTATAGTCTCAATCAAGCAACAAAGATATACAACTTCTGGAGCGACTAGGTAAAGTTAGTTGATTCTGTTGTAACTTTTTGTGGCTCTATAGAAATATATTTTAATTTACTGGCATTAACAAAAGGAAAATGTCATGATGCCACTATGGTGTGAAACTGAAAATAAATATATTTAGCTGTTATATTTGGTTCATTCTTTAAGATTATGCTGTCCTTTGTGGACTTTTGGGGGAAAAAAGAATGAGAAAGAACATCAGTAGTTAGAAAACTACTAATACATGGTTCTAGATTAATAGTACAACTACAACTAACTCACAAGCCATGAAATGATCTAATAAGCCAGCTCCATCCTCCAACTTACCTTCCTTGCAAAGGTGTGGGTAGATACACAAGAGTGGGTGGAAGCTGAGAGTACTGTATGCCTCTTTTAGATCTGGAAAGAAAAGTGGCACTGTATATGCAATGAAGAGGAGAACATTTAATGGATACAGAAAATAAAGAAACAAGATGGATATATACCAGGTGTATCCAACCTTGGCAACTTTAAGATTTGTAGACTTCAACATCCAGAATTCCACAAGTCTTAAAGTTGCCAAGATTGACACCTCTGATACAGTGGTGGGTTCCTCTCGGTTCGGCCCGGTTCTCCCAAGCCGGTAGCGGTGACGATATGACGTCACCGAACCGGTTCTGCCCCCCGCACCCCCCATCCCCCCACCCCGCATTATTCTTATCGTTTATTTGGCCCCACCCTCAATCTATTGCTGCCTCCTGAGTCCCAGCTGATGGCTAGAGGGAAAAAAACTGTTTAAACTCTTGCCACGGGGCTTCAAAGGGCCGCCCTACAGCTGATCAGTGTTAAAAGAAAACAAATGAGTAGACCAGTGCCTGCAAAAATACATGAGTAGATCAGTGCCTGCAAAAAATAAATGGGTAGACCAGTGCCTGCAAAAATAAATGGGTAGACCAGTGCCTGCAAAAAATAAATGGGTAGATCGGTACAGCTCTGCAAGCAGTTAAAAGCCTGGTAGACTAGTACCTCTGCTAAATCCTAATTAATTGTCACATGACCATCAAGCCACGCCCACAAAATAAGCCATGCCCACAGAACCGGTAGTAAAAAAATTTAGAACCCACCCCTGCTCTGATATATACCAGACACACACACACACACACACACACACACAGTATAATCTCCAGAGACAAAAAAGAAAAAATGATTTTATACGAGAAGGCTGAAAAAAAGGACCATAAAAAGAGATTCTACAACCCAGACAGAGAGAAGTTGAAAGCCTTTGCATCAGAGGTGGTATTCAGCAGGTTCTGACCAGTTCTGGAGAACCAGTAGTGGAAATTTTGAGTAGTTCGGAGAACCGGTAAATACCACCTCTGGCTGGCCCCGCCCCCATCTATTCTCCGCTTCCTGAGTCCCAGCTGATCGGGAGGAAATGGGGATTTTGCAGTAACCTTCCCCTGGAGTGGGATGGGAATGGAGATTTTACAGTATACTTCCCCTGCCACACCCACCAAGCCGTGCCATGCCCACCAAACCACACCCACAGAACCATAGTAAAAAAATTTGAATTTCACCACTGGTAAGTACACTATGCTATAATTAATCACACCCACCATGTCAGTTTTTTGATGAAAGATGTCATAGCAGCACCCTTTCAAGATTCATGGGCTCCTCAGTCAAACGAAGCCAAAAAAGAAAAAAGAAAAAAGCATGCAGCTTTGAAAAGCCTTCCGATGCGAAATGCCTATCAAGATAAATTACCATGTCGAGAAAAAATACATGCTGATGTGCTGCTCTGTGTTACCTTTTCTTCCCCATAGGCTCTGTTTACTTGCCTAATGAGATTCTGACCTAACCACCGGAATTGCACCTGAAGGAGGGAGAGAAATGCTCCTTGAAAGCATGAATTATGCATACATTTTATGCAAGGCAAACTGTATCTGAGCAACTGGTTTTTTGTTATGGAGCCCTGGATCAGGGCAACCACAGGGAGGATTTAAAAAGTTAAGATGATAGGCATGACTATGCAATCAAAGCCCTACCTCTTTTAATGTGCGTGCAAGGGTAGGGCTTTAATTGCAGTCACACTCACCATCTTCAAACCCTCACAGCTTCAACCATAAACTGTCTATGGTGGACCTCACCCCATTCCTAAGAGGTCCATAAAGGAGGCGTGCATAAGCGCACCAGCATGCCTACCGTCCCTGTCCTACTGTCCCCATTAATTTGTATTTATTTCTTTCGTTCATGTCCATGTTCATAGTTACACCTGCTATCTTGTACATGTTTGACGAACTAATAAATAAATGAATGAATGAATGAATGAATGAATAAATAAATAAATAAATAAATAAATAAATAAATAAATAAATAAATAAATAAATAAATCTTTTTAATAAAGCTTTTTACCCTCCTGCGGACACCCCTGCACCAGATGCTGCATTTTAAAACTCTCCAGTACTGTTTTCTGTAGATAACAAAGTTACAGCCTAGAGATAACACGTAATAAAACATCACAAGCAGGCTTGGTGGGCATGATGTGGCTTGGTGGGCGTGGCAGGGAGGGATACTGCAAAATCTCCATTCCCTCCCCACTCCAGGGGACGGATACTGCAAAATCCCCATTCCCTCTCCATTCTGGGGGAAGGATATTGCAAAATCTCCAGTCCCACCCCACTCTGGGACCAGCCAGAGGTGGTATTTGCCGGTTCTCCGAACTGCTCAAAATTTCCGCTACCGGTTCTAAAGAACCTGTCAGAACCTGCTGAATTTCACCCCTGGTCACAAGCCATTTGGAGAGGCAAAATTGAAGCACGTGTGATTTTTCTCATGGCCCTCAGCTTAACTTTTAATGCAGGAGATCAGTTTTTGCTGTCGTAGCTATTTGTCTCTTCCAGTGGTGGGTTTCAAACATTTTTACTACCGGTTCTGTGGGTGTGGCTTGGTGGGTGTGGCATGGCTTGGTGGGCGTGGTTTGATGGGCATGGCAGGGGAAGGATACTGTAAAATCTCCATTCCCTCCCCAATCCAGGAGAAGGTTACTGCAAAATCCCCATTTCGTCCCGATCAGCTGGGACTCGGGAGGAGAGAATAGATGGGGACGGGGCCAGTCAGAATTTCTACTACTGGTTCTCCGAACTACTCAAAATTTCTGCTACCGGTTCCCTAGAACTGTTCAGAACCTGCTGAAACCCACCTCTGGTCTCTTCCTCATAGCCTGCTCTGAGGAAGTTATTAGTTATTTGTCTCTTTCTCTCAAGAGAAAGGTGCTCTGCTCTAGGGAGAAAAGGTATCAAAAAGAGGAAAATGATGACATCCAAGAAACAATTGGTGTCCCTCCCACCAATTCTTTAGTTCTTGACAAACTTACTGATAACCTTTCGGCCGATGTACCACACAGCCTCCAAGAGATTATCCTAAGGGAATGTAGCCCTTGAGAAAAATACAGATTTTTTTCCCCTACAAACTCCCTAATAAAGGAGATTTGTTTACTGCTTCTGTGAGGCCATTTCCTTCAATGATCAAGCAGATGGAAGTTACAACAAAGCCCAGACGCAGGTCACAACCCAGCAAATCAAATATGATCAGACACAAACTCTGGACCACCAAAGATAAAATATTATATTTATATTTATATTTTATATTTTATTAAATTTGTATACCGCCCTACTCCCGAAGGACTCAGGGCGGTGAACAGCCATAAAATAAAACATATAGATACAAAATTTAAAATAGAGATAAAACAAATTAAATAAATTTGGCTGAACCATTTAAAAACCCCAATAGTTTAAAACCAAATTTAAAATTCCCATTTAAAAAGAGGAAAATTTAGGTCAGGCCAGCTTGATGAAATAGGAACGTCTTAAGCGTGCGACGGAAGGTACGCAGATCCGGGATCCTCCATATCTCCAGGGGGAGCTCGTTCCAGATAGTAGGTGCCCCCACAGAGAAGGCTCTCCCCCTGGGGGCCACCAGTCGACATTGTTTGGCCAACAGCACCCGGAGGAGCCCCTCTCTATGGGAGTGTACTGGTCGGTGGGAGGCTGTTGGTGATAGCAGGCACTGGCTTCTTTGCTGTGTGCTGGGCAGGGCACTAAAAATTGGGACCTTGAAGCATATATTACACCACCAAGAGTAGATTAGTGAGCTGCATTCAGATTGATGGATCATAGATTTTACGGGCTTGTATTATGGAAACAGATCTATGGATATTCTCAATCATCCAGGTCATGGTTGTCCCAAAGGTGCTGTTCAAAAGGCAACTAGACTTTCTTGGGTTTTTTGCCTTGAAAACGTTCACTTCTCAAACCAAAAAGCCTTTTAAACAGCATCTGGTACAAAGATGCTGTTCTTAGAACTAAGGAGAAATTTCCCGACAGTTAGAACAATTAATCAGTGGAACAACTTGCCTCCAGAAGTTGTGAATTCTCCAACACTGGAAGTTTTTAAGAAGATGTTGGATAACCATTTGTCTGAAGTGACGTAGGGTTTCCTGCCTAAGCAGGGGGTTGGACTAGAAGACCTCCAAGGTCCCTTCCAACTCTGTTATTCTATTCTACATTATGGAGTCACCATTTCCATGAGGGCCAACTGTGAAACATCGAAGTGTTCCAGGATCACAATGTATATATTCAGTTGCTTAGGGGTGTCACAGATCAAAATCTCTGCTATTACTGGAATGCTACTTCCCCAATGGCATAGATTCATTCAAACATAATCAATCTGCAGTTGGAATGGCAAAAGAAACAAATAACAGAGATCTTATCTGTTCAGTTAATTCAATTATTTCTCCTCAGGGAAGTCATATAGTATTGAATCAATGACAGTGAGATACTGTACTATTGTAATGGAAATAGAAAACCAGGCAAATACATGGCAGCCCATTTTCCTGAGGGGTGTGTAATCTTCTATGGGAATCAATTCCCTATTAACATTTTAGGAAGGCAAAAATTAAAAATTAACTCTTGATCATTGATATGTCAGCATATCCACCTTTGTTGACACTGATACATAGCCCAAAGGTAGTGGCCATGTGTCTTCCTGCCATCTCCATCTTTACTAGCAAAACATTATCCATATGACTGATCCAAGAACGTAGAAAATGGCAGCCACCAAAGTGGTGCTTGGCAGAAAATGTCAACCCCAATAGCAGACAAGAAAAAAGATGGTAGTAGATTGAATTTTCAGAATGGTACGGTGATTCTAACAATCTATTTTGTTTGTTTGTTTATGAGAGAAGGGAGTAGGTTTTCCATTCTTCTTCAAGTATTCATTTTTAGTACCTATGTTGTACATCAAATTCCATTCATTTTGGGTTAATCACTTACCTTTCTTAATATAGAGTATCCAATTCATCAATGGAAAATGTAAGTTATTTTTACACCTCCAATGAGGCTGGGTGACTAGATTTTTATCTGTGACACACCTAAGCAACTTAATATATCCATTGTGATCCTGGAACACTTTGATGTTTCACAGTATCACACTTGGCCATCATGGAAATGGTGACTCTATAATGTACCAAATAGGCTGTTCAAAAGGCTTCTTGGTTTGAGAAGTCTTTTGAACAACATATTTGGTACATTACAGAGTCACCAGCCTCATTAGAGGCTAGGAGAGATGTGGTGGCTCAGTGGCTAAGACGCTGAACTTGTCGATCGAAAGGTCGGCAGTTCAGCGGTTTGAATCCCTAGTGCTGCATAACGGGATGAGCTCCCGTTACTTGTCCCAGCTTCTGCCAATCTAGCAGTTCGAAAGCACGGAAAAAATGCAAGTAGAAAAATAGGGGCCACCTTTGGTGGGAAGTTAACAGCATTCCGTGTGCACCACCCCCTAGAGTCGGGAACGACTAGCACATATGTGTGAGGGGAACCTTTACCTTTACCTTTAATGAGGCTAGGGAGCTGAAAGAAAATGAAACTGTATATGCCTTTCCATTGTATTCCATTTTATACATCTACAATATATAAATACAATGCTTAAATTATTTGTGAACAAGTGTCCCAGCAATAGTTCGTTTAAAAAAATCTTAGCATTTCAGCAAAATTTAACAATGAGATGCAACTGCTATTGATTCTGCCAGTCAAAGGATGTCATCTTGTGGGACCTTGGAAGGGGGGCTTTTCTGTTGCAGAGCCTGATTTTTGGAACACAATTCTCCCTAAGGTTAGATTGGTGACTTTTCAGAAGGCTCTAAAGGATTGGATGTGATCCTAGGCATGTGGGTTAGAATGCTAGTGAGAGCTCATGATGTTTTTATGATTTGGTTGTTCTTCACCTCCTTTTTTAGGTTTTACATTAAGGTTTTCTGTGGGTTTTTTTTTTTAATGTTGTAAGCCATCCAGAACCACAATTGTGAGATAGGTTTTTATATATGTTGAAGAAATAAACAAATCATAAGTCAATAAACAAATTCAATTTTAAAGACCACAGTACTGTATTCAACATACTAAATTCTGAAGAGGGTTTTAAAAAGTGTTTCAGCTGTCATAAAAGCAACTGATTTCAGAAAAAGAGCTTTAATTTTCTTCTGCTTTCTTCTAGGTGCAAAATAACACAACATCAGGACAAGCTGTCGCCATGGAGATTTTCCTCACTTTTCAATTGGTCCTTTGCATTTTTGCCTCCACTGATGATCATCGGACCGACAATCTGGGATCTCCAGCTTTGTCCATTGGTTTCTCTGTCGTCCTGGGTCACCTCATTGGAGTGCGTAATCAGATTGCTGTGCAAAATTAAGCAATGATGTTAAATTGAAATGTAATAAAGTTTGGGGGGGATGGACAATAAAATTGACAATAAAATCCAAATTTTGGAGTTGAAGGAGTGGCCCTTTTCAAGTGAGGTTTCTCGTGGCTGAAAATCAGAGCAATTTTTTATGGATTCACCCCATATAGAATTCTTTATTGATGAAGTGTGTTATTGGACACACAAGTAGTCTACTCATTGAATCCTGATTCAATGGGTTTGGGCGGCACATATATGCATTCAGTGGTGGGATTCAGCTGGTTTGGGCTGGTTTCTGGTGAACCGGTAGTTAAATTGCTGGCTGGCTCCGCCCCACCCCGCCCCTCCCAGGAGTCCCCACGTGCCCCATTTTGTCTCCCAGGTAAGTGCAGGGAGCCTCCTAGGCCCAAAACACGGCACGGGAGCAGCAGGGGGAGCGGTGCACCCTCCCAGCGGCCCATTTTCGCTCTCAGGAGGCTGCAAGGAGGCCTCCTAGGCCCAAAATGGGGCATGGGAGGGCGGCACGTTCCCCCCACACACGGCCCGTTTTTGCTCCCAGGGAGGGGCAGGAGGCCGAGTGCTGCCTGTCACACACCCTGGCCATGCCCACCATGGTCACGCCCACCCAGCCGGTCATTAGGGCAAAGAACGGGTTGTTAAATTATTTGAACCCCACCGCTGGATGCATTCCTATCTGGCTGCTTCTCCTTCCTTTTCTAGTTAGCAACCAATCTGAGATCATGTTATTACGAGGATGTTATCATCAATTGGGATTTGATTATCCTTAGCTACTTGCTGAGATCAGTGAGTACAAGTGATCACATTTAATAGTTCAGTGCATCAATTTGTTCAGTGGTACTCATAATGGCTGCCCTCGCTGATATGTTGTTATAAGCCAATCTCAGTGATAAGGTGTGGCTTTTTTTGCTTGCCCAAGAGGGCTTCCTTCCTCCTTTCCCAATTCTGTCCAATTACAGGCAGTCCTCAACTTATGACCACAATTGAGGCCAAAATTTCTAAGCAAGGCAGCTGTTAAGTGAATTTTGCCTCATTTCATAACCTTTCTTGCCACAGTTGCTAAGTGAATCACTGCAGTTGTTAGGAACACCGGTTGCTAAATGAATCTGGCTTCCCCATTGGCTTTGCTTGTCAGAAGATTGAAAAAGTTGATCACATGACCCCGGGACACTGCAACCGTCATAAATACGAACCAGTTGCCAAGCATCTGAATTTTTTTCATATGCCCATGGGGATGCTGCAATCGTCACGTGAAAAATGAAAAAAAGTTACTTTTTTCAGCGCCGTTGTAACTTTGAACAGTCGCTATATCAATGGGTAAGTCAAGGACGACCTGTACTTTCAAAAAATTCCCCATGAAGATTATTCCAGTCCTCTGCCATAGATTATGTATGCTTAGAAGTGGCTACAAGGAAGGATATTGTCCTCTCCTTATTTTACCAACAAGTGTCCCACTGTATATTCTATTGCTATATTGGCTTTATTGCCACCATGGACCATACTGGCGCAGTGGTTAGAATACAATATTGCAGGCTAACTTTGTATTCCTACTGCCAGGAGTTCGATATTATTTAATATTATTCGCATTCTCTTCCTAACAGCAGGAGGGAGCCCTGATTGGCACTAACATTCTGTGCATGTTTTCAGCTTTGTGAGGTTGGCAGAGTGGATGATGGTTAGAAGTCACCTTCAAAGCCTCCTTGGAAAAATTAGGAAAATAAGAACAAAGTGATATGAAAATGCCCCAAAACTCTGGAGAGCCACTTTCAGTCAATGCAAAATAACTCTAGAAGAAGCAATGGTGTGGCTCTTGGAGCCGCAGTGGCATAGTGGTTAGAATGCAGTACTGCAGGCTACTTCTGCTGACTGCTGACTGCCTGCAATTTGGCAGATCGAATCTCATCAGACTCAAGGTTGCCTCAGCCTTCCATCCTTCCGAGGTTGGTAAAATGAGGAACCAGATTGTTGGGGGGCGATATGCTGACTCTGTAAACCACTTAGAGAGTGCTGTAAAGCACTGTGAAGTGGTATATGAGTCTAAATGCTATTATAGCAAGATAAGCCACAGAAGCCACAGAAGTCTAATAGAATATGATTTTCAGTTGAAACAATAGTACCTTAAATGTTAGTTTTAATAGAAGCGTGCAAGCTTTTTTTTAAGACACCATATTGAGATTCAGAGATATTCATATAATTAGCCAGCATAAAATCCTGTTCATAGATAGGCCAATTATTCAAGTATATGTTAATTTTTTGTTTCAACCCTGTCTTCCTCCTGAGTGATTTGACTTTATTTCTTTTTTCTGATTATTTTGGCTCTTTTTGAAATCTAAAACTTTCTTAATCCTCTCCAAAGTTTTACTCACCCTTACTGTTCATTCTTCCTCATTTTCTGCTGATTGTTCTGTCTCAGTGATGCTTTGGTCACATATTTATATGGTGTTCCTTACCATTAGCCTGTTTTAATTAAAGCCATTATGCTGAATTAAACTGTATTCAAGGTCTTCAGATCATTTGCTTAATCAAAATATATCACTGCTATTTTCTTCTCAGGAAAAACAAATAAGGGAAAAGAAAACTGTCAAAAGATCTGACTACATATATTAATTTACCTAATGCTTTAGAGCAGTGGTTTTCAACCTGTGGGTCATGACCACTTTGGGGGGCGAACGACCCTTTCACAGGGGTCGCCTAAGACCATCGGAAAACACATATTTTCAATGGTTTTAGGAATAATTTTATGGTTGGGGGGTCACCACAACATGAGGAACTGTATTAAAGGGTCGCGGCATTAGGAAGGTTGAGAACCACTGCTTTAGAGTGACAGATATGGATTTTCTCTCTCTCATTTTTATCCTCATTAGAAATCCTGTTATATAAAACTGTGCAGTAAATCAACAGTCCAAGATATTTCCATCAGTTTCAAGTTGAATTGAGATTTTAACTTAGATTTTTCCCATAAAGAATCAAAGTATATAACAGTTGAAAGGGATCTTGGAGATTATCTAATCCAGGGGTCCCTCAACCCCTGGTCTGTGGACCAGCACCAGACCGTGGCATGCCAGCAACTAGGCCGCACAAGTAAGCAAAGCCCCATCTGTGGGATGCTGGCAGCACGCAAAATCACGTCCCCTCTGAACCGCGGAAAAATCTCTCTCCACAGAACCGGTCCCTGGTGCCCAAAACGTTGGGGGCCACTAATCTAATCCAATCCCTTTCTACTACTAACTACACATGCACACACACGGCAGTGTGGTATAGTAGTTAAGGTGCGGACCATAAGCACAAAAACTCTGAGTGAGATGGGCAGTAGAAAAATGTGAAAAATAAATAAATAAATAAAACTCAGACTGTAGTCCACTCTTAGGCATGGAAGCTGGCTGGATGACATTGGGCCAATCACTCTTTCAGCCCTAGATTGGGCAGACAAAAAACACACCACCTCCCATCGACTCATAGCAGACCAGCAGATTAGATTATGTTCTGTATCCTTCAGTGACAGCCTTCATCCAACCTCCATCCTTCATCATTTGAGTCATATACTGCATATCACTAATCTCATCCTATTTTTCTACCTAGATCTACTACACTGGCTGTTCCATGAATCCTGCCAGATCTTTTGCCCCTGCTGTGATTCTTGGTGAATTTGACAATCATTGGGTAAGATACCCGACCAGCCTTTCTCCACTGGGTTCTATGGAAGGGGTTCTGCTGGAGATCCTGATTTAAAAAACAACACCCACAACCCATTTTTTTAACTTCACACAGTGTGCAATGCTAGCACTTGCAATAATGGTAATGTTTACTCACCGCAACCCAGATGCTTAGTCTGTCATTTTGTTATGGTAGTGGTGGTGGTAATTGTTGAAAACATAGATGGTGTATGTTAGAAATGAAATGCATTGTGAAGTTATCACATTTTTTTGGGGGGGGGTGTAATTTTTAATGCAAGAGTTCCAACAAACCCAAACATTTTTTCAAAGTTTTCTCCAGGTAAGAAGGTTGAGAAAACCTGCTCCGGATAATCTACAGTTGCAACAGACCATTAAAAAGGGATAGCAATGTTTGGGGGGTTGTGAATCTTAGGGGTCTCAACCATTTGGGACATGCCATGATCCATATAAGTAAGCATATTCATTAACTTGATCGTTGACAGATTCACATAGTTGCATATTCCCTTTTGTCTCTCATATGTACATAGACAGATATTCTCTGACTTTTTGTGAAACAAACCAAGCTTGTATTCTTTCCTCCCTCAGTATTTTTTAAAAGGGGAATTACATTTTCTCTGTTCCTATTAATGATGGGGGGGGATGGTTTTTGCTAAAATTAGTTAGATGGAAGATGAGGTGTCAAGATTTCCTATCTCAACATATCCTTACTAGGATTGCTGAGTCTCAGAGAAACTATGAAAGAAGAGACAGGCCAAAGCTGAAGACTCCACACAATCCATGTCATTGCCCTAGCCAAGCGTGACCAAGAATTTGATGAATAAATATCTTTTCTGCCCTTCTTTTCACACCAGGGAACATGGATGTGATTCCTCAGAATACAGTCTCCCTCTTCTCCAACTCACATCCATGTGCCAATACAAGTGAGGAGCAGGATGGGAAGATAAGGATGGGATAGAGTCAGGGGTGGGATTCAGCCAGTTTGGAGTGGTTCGGGCAAACCGGATGCTAATTTTACATCTGGTTCACCAAACTGGTAGCTGCAAGAACTGGCTGGCCCCGCCTACCCCACCCCGCCCCTCCCAGGAGTCTCCATGCGGCCCGTTTTGGATGCCAGGTAAGTGCAGTGCCCACGCGGAGGCTCTGGGAGGGTGAAAAATGGGCCTCCCAGAAGTTCCAAAAGTCTGGAAACAGGCCTGTTTCTGGCCTCTAGAGCGCCTCTGGAGCCCAGGGGAGGCCGTTTTCGCTCTCCCGGAGTCTCAAGGAAAGCCTCCGGAGCTTGGGGAGGGCGAAAATGTCCCGTCGTCCCCCTGCCGTGGTGCAGGAGGCTGAGTAGGCCATGCCTACCATGGCCACACCCACCCAGCAACCAGGCAGAGAACCAGTTGCTAAAAGAATCCCACCCCTGGATAGATTGTTTACTGTAAGGGACACCACAATATTAGGTTACCAAGGTCCCCAGATTCACTTAGACTTGGAGTTTGACCTGGTTTATTCATGCCTGTGCACAAGAATTATTGAGTACAGAAGGATGAATGCCATATACACAAGGCAAAAGGCAAGGTGCATGAAACAAGATGAACTCATCCACTCTGGCCATATGGCCCCGTCCATTTTTTCTAGCAGCACAAGGTGTCTCTCTGCAAACCTCTGATTAAAGCATAACCTTACAAGAAGGAAACAACTATCACTTAGGACAGTTGCAACAGGACTGATGGGCCAGGAGCAGCTCTTGTCTCCATAAGAGGGCTGTTTTTTGTTTGTTTGTGTATGGAAGCCATATTTTTAATTTATTTTAGAAAATTTATATCACCCCCTACTCACTCATGGAGACTCTAGGCCCGGGGTCTCCAAACCTGGCAACTTTAAGACCTGTGGACCTCAATTCCCAGAATTCCCCAGCCAGCTATGCTGCGGAGCCTTAAAGTGTGAACACAACCATGCTGGCTGGGGAATTCTGGGAATTAAGGTCTACAAGATTTAAAGTTGCCAAGTTTGTAGACACCTGCTCTAGGCAGCTTACAGACAAAAACAATGTGGAAGAAATAAAAATAATAAAATAATAAACCCTCACACACACATGCATCCTTGGTGACAACACACATTCAAATCAGCCATTTAATGGGCTCCTCCATCCCACTCTGGGTTCCCCAGGCCTGCTGGGAAACACGTCTTTAGGACCTTACAATATTTATTTTATTTATTTATTTTTATTTGATTTATATGCCGCCCTTCTCCAGAGACTCAGAGCGGCTTACAATGCGTTAAGCAATAGCCTTCATACTTTTGTATATTTATACAAAGTCAGCTTATTGCCCCCACAAACTGGGTCCTCAATTTACCTACCTTAGAAAGGATGGAAGGCTGAGTCAACCTTGAGCCTGGCGGGATTCGATCTTACTTTAATTGCAGACAGCTGGTGTTAAATTACAGAGCTCTGTCTGTTGAGCTATTCAGGCTCCTGGATTGCTGCCTATCTTACTGTTGTGATCTCAGCAACTCACAAAACAAAACATAAAAAGAAGAAATAAAATAACAGTGCCAGAATCATACATGTTCCTTTGCCTGAAAGAAAAGTCAAGTCTTCAGGACTTTGCAGATGTCTAACAGTCTTGGCCATCCAGATCTTGGAGGTGGGCAAGCACCACAACTGAAAGGTACTTTTGTCTAGATTCCATTAGATGGCACTGTTTCAGAGAAAGGATCCAGATACACTATTGGATCCAGTGGGATCCAGTGAGATCCAGTGGGATGAGCAGAAATAACTGAGAATAGGCAGTGCCATGAATAATCTGGCTCATGTAGGACTTTACAGGTGATCTCTAACAATTTTAATTGTATCCAAAAGCATATTGGAAATCAGCGCAGTTTATGAAGCAGAGATGCTACCAGGTGCATCCTAAACGGTGCAGTACCGTTACGTGTAGACCAACTGCAGCTTCCAAATGTTCTTCAAGGATAGCCCCATTTAGATTACATTACAATAGTCAAAGTAGGAAGGGACTAAGGTATGAATGATTGGGAGCAGAGCCTCCCCTTCCAAGAAGGGCTGCCATTGGCACACAAATGTTTAATGAGAAGAAGTTTCAATGGTTTGGCAATGGTTTAGCATCCCATTCCAGCTCTATGTGAATGTTTCAGGCTCTTGTTTCAACCAGTTTCAGGCCAGTTTGTTACTGGACGTGACTTTGGTTTCTTGTTTTGTGTTTTTGGAGACTTTTAACATTCATATTCAATGAAGTGAAAGAATGAAGGAAGCAAAATCCTTTGGCAGTTGTCCATGAACTCCCCACCAGAGGAACTGTACAGTACTGTTAGCATCTTAGTTATGTTGCCTTAGTTGGAAGGTATGAAATAACTCAGCACTGACGTCTGAATAATAGGAAATAATAACTTGTTTGCTTTTCCAGTAATACATTGGATGCACTCTATAGTCCACATTCCCCAAAGTGGTGCTTTCCAAATGTTAGGGCTTAACTATAAATCCCATTGCCCGTTGCTTGAATATACTTTGCAGAGAAGCTTTCATAACCTGATTTCCTTGACGAGCAATGTCTGAGAATTGTATGAAGCTTCTTGGATTGGAAACACTGTGATGAGGAGTTGTATACCGATTCTAGAATTACCATATATTAAGGATTAACTAGTAATCATTAGTTTAGCTGCCCCATTGTCACCAAGAGCTGAATTATGAGCAGAAGAATCTCTGGGTGTTACAACAACAACATACTTTATTGCGGTCATAGACCAAAAAAACCAAAACATCCAAAACACATAGCTGGCACACTACCAGACTAAAGTGCAATACGGCAACAAGATCAGGAAACCATTCCGTCAAACTCACAGTTCATGTATTTTAAATTTTTTAGCTCCAATCTATATGGACTATAGTTGATTAAAATTGTACATAGGTAGAAAATACTATAGTGCAATTTGCATACAATCCACACATCGGCACTTTATACAACCACCAACTAACTCAACCACTGGCGATCAATAAAGCTGACCTCAGTCCATGGGTCCAGCTCATCCCTTCCCCCGGCTCTTACATCCCAAGACTGCAATCTCTGGGTGTTATTGATCGAGTTACTCACAACTCAGGACAAGCAGGAAGGTTTGGAGGTCACAGAAGAAGGAATTCCAGACGCAATGATCAAAAGTTATCAGGAGTTTCCCCCCCAAAAAATATGGCTTTGTAAATGCTGGAGAAACCTAGGAAGACAAGTGATTTGGAGAAATAAATAGAAGGGAAGAAGGAGGCCTTCAAAAATGGTGAGATGGGCAGCAAACATATTTAATAAAATAAAATAAAAACTAAAAGGAGAAGAAAAAGAGGAGTGTAGAATCACTGAATTCATTAACTGACTCTCCAGGCCAGAATCCACCTATATGGGGAGGGATGGTGGGGAAGGAAGCAGCCTGCCATTTTTCTCCTGCCTTCTCCAATAAATTACTTTAAATTTATTTTAATGAAATTCTTCCTGTCTATAGAATAAAATATAGATGAAATGATGTGATGTTTAGCTCAAATAAATCTACCAATTGTCTTTGGTAGTGGCATGGTGGCACAGTGCTTAGAATACAGTATTGCAGTCTGACTCTGCCCACAGCCACGAGTTCAATCCTGACCGATTCAGCTTTCCATCCTTCCGAGGTCGGTAAAATGAGGACCCAGATTGTTGGGGACAATGTGCTGACATTGTAAACTGCTGAGAGAGTACTGTAAAGCACTATGGGATGGTATATAAGTGCTATGGCTATTGCTATTTTGGTTCTTTGTGTTACCCGAGAGTAATCATTGTGTCTGCCAGCTTCTGAGTCTCTCTCATGTTGTCATTTCCATGTGCAGGTCTTCTGGCTGGGTCCCATGGTTGGAGCAGTGGTGGCTTCCTTGCTCTACAATTATGCTTTCTTCCCTCATAGAAAGACTCTGTCAGAGAGGCTAGCAATCTTCAAAGGCTATGAGCCAGAAGAGGACTGGGAAGAGCGTGAAGTTCGCAGGAGGCAGTCAGTGGAGCTGCATTCTCCCCAATCTTTGCCTCGGGGAGTGATGGAAAAAGTCTAAAGAGCCTGAGAGCCAGTAAAAGGAGCAGGTCATAGCTAACCATGTTCTTCTGAGCCAAATATGCATCCATATATGCTACAGATACAGAGTGTGTATTAAGAACTTCCTGGGTCAGAGTGGCTGTTCATCTGTTATAGACATCCAAGTGTGTATCCGTTTTCTCCTCAATTTGTAAAAGATGTACCTTTCGATCTCCAGGATGTTGATCTAGATCAAAAGGAGCATGTAGCAGCCTGTTTGTATACACTGATGAAAGAATTCACTGATTGTTTTCTTCTTCTCTGGTTCAAGCTAGCTAAATTTCACATGAACTTTCAAGAACCTTGCATGAAGAATTCGAGAAATTCTTCATCTCCCTCCCTCCATCATCTCTCTATCTAGTTTGGGTATCTTGTCCCCTCCCCAGGCACTACAATGGCAGGTTCTGGAGGTAATAATGGTATCCAGAATTATGGCTGAGAAAATTTAGGAAACAGAAACAATACTCTCCTAGGTCTTGTAAACAGATTGCACTGTCATTATTTACTTCAAAGTGTGCAAGCTTACGTAGTAGCTTTAGGTTGCAATCCTAAATATACTCCCTAAAGAGTAAAGACCATGAAATAGAATAGGAATCGAGTAAGCACGCATAGGATTATTCTACCCATCACATAATCAGCCATCCTATCATTTTACTCCTCATCCAGTTTCTCACGGTGTACACAATGGTTTTCTTGTCTATAGTTTTATATATTTTATTAAAATACAATGTAATGCTTATGCTGAATTTTAGATCAAACAAAGATCGGGAGATCTTAAGAGCAGATCTATTTGTTGCAGCCACATTCTTTTTTTTTTTTTTAAATCAAAGGTGTTTGTAACGAACCTGCTCTATATCATTGCATTTTGTTTTGTTTTTTTCTCCAGGCTTTCTTAAATTACAACTTCATTAATACTTTCAGATGGTGGGAGGGCATCTACCAGTATCTGGTAGAAATCAAAGGGAAGAAACAAACCTAAATTTGGCTAAATTAGGCCTTGGCCACTTTTCCCAACTATATTGTTCTATAGAAAGAAACTTGTGAATTCACCTTAATTGGTTTATTAGGCAAGATTTGTTTTCCATTGCTGTACATGTGGTATTCATTTTGCAAAGCTTGAAGCATGTTGCCTTGGATCATTTTTCCATGCAATTGGGAGCAGGGTGGGTATGTTTTAATCAAAGCAGCATTTGCGTATCTGTGTGTGCGTGAATTCTTCCAAATGTATTGCTAAATATCACGTCCTTGTTTTCAGATAACATTCTTTAAGGAATTGAAGCACTTTTCACACAATTGCCTTTTTAAAAAAATTGCATCATATGTTTGGTATAAGATGCCTTTGATGCTGTGGGTTGATATGCACTAAACCAGGGGTCGGCAACCTTAAACCCTCAAAGAGCCACAAAGGTCCTAACTGGAAGCCCCCTGTTCAATTCTGGAGCCAACCAGAAGTCTGGGTCCCACCATAGAGTCTCCTCCTAGTGCGGTGTCCTTTTTCCTCTATCTGTCCTAACCAAAAGCCCTATCAATTGTGTCTGACCAGAAAACCCGCCCCTTGCCATAGAGTCTCCTCCTGGCACACCATGCTTTCCCCCTTAACCGGAAGCTCCTCTCAAAATTGTGGCGCTGACCAACGACAGGGAGCCACAGCAGAGGGATGAAAGAGCCACATGCGGCTCCAGAGCTGCAGGTTGCTGACCCCTGCACTAAACCATACTGAACTACCTAATACAGGTAGCTTAAACCTAATGCCTGGCAGATAAGGTGCAACTATTGGAAGGATGAGTCAGAAGCTGTGCAATAAAATTGATACTGTAAAAAGTATCACACTTAAAAAGAGTGGGCGGTTAATTTCAGTGCTTCTTTCTATACAAGCCATTTTCTGTAACAAGATAGTTTCGTTTTTTTCTAATTAATTCCTAAGAATTCAGATGAAGAAGATCTTGCTGCATTTTTTCTGTTTTCGCTATATTTAATCCTCACCTCCATCACCCTAATATTAGAACTTGAACAGAGTTGGTTGAAAGATGGACAGCTATATAAATGTTTTACAAATAAATAAATAAATAAATAAATTACATAAATGTTAACAAGAACTAACAGTACAATAGATAGCTATATAAATATTTTACAAACAAAATAGATTAAATAAATAAATAAATAAAAAGAACAATAACTACTATAACAAAAGTAAGGTTCTACATTTAGGCAAGAAAAACAAAATGCACAGGTACAGTATACGTGGTAGCAACTGTGAGAGAGATCTTGGAGTCCTAGTGGACAACCATTTAAATATGAGCCAGGGGTGTGCAGCAACTGTCAAAAAAGCCAACACAGTTCTAGGCTACATAAACAGAGGGATAGAATCAAGGGCACGTGAAATGTTAATACCACTTTATAATGCCTTGGTAAGGCCACACTTGGAATACTGCATTCAGTTTTCGCCGCCACAATGTAAAAAAGAAGTGGAGACTCTAGAAAGAGTGCAGAGAAGAACAACAAAGGTGATTAGGGGACTGGAGGCTAAAACATATGAAGAACGGTTGCAGGAACTGGGTATGTCTAGTTTAATGAAAAAAAGGACTAGGGGTGACATGATAGCAGTGTTCCAATATCTCAGGGGCTGCCACAAACAAGAGGGAGTTAAGCTATTCTCCAAAGCACCTGAAGGTAGGACAAGAAGCAATGGGTGGAAACTAATCAAGGAGAGAAGCAACTTAGAACTAAGGAGAAATTTCCTGACAGTTAGAACAATTAATCCGTGGAACAACTTGCCTCCAGAAGTTGTGAATGCTCCAACACTGGAAGTTTTTAAGAAGATGTTGGATAACCATTTGTCTGAAGTGGTGTAGGGTTTCCTGCCTAAGCAGGGGGTTGGACTAGAAGACCTCCAAGGTCCCTTCCAACTCTGTTATTATATATTATATATTATAACTCCAAAACAAATGAGAGTGTGGGAAACATCTTGCTCAGAGCAATGGCTCTTCACTCCAGTATTTTGTGTGGCCCACAATCAGATGCATTTTCGAAGCTTTCTGATCTGGAAGAATCATTTCTGGTACAGTTGATGAAATATAAACCTGTCTACTTCTTATTTGCATCACCTTCAAAACTGCCTTGATGGTCTGTTAAGGTAGTCTTAGCACTGCAGTGATTCTAAGTGGGTGGGTGGGTGATATTGGGAAGGCTACTTGTTTCTGCAATCAGCAGGTCAAAAAAAAGGGGGGGAAGGATTATATATAAAAGCAGGGGGACATTAATGCTACTGATACATTGCAATTAATGGGAAGAAAAAGCTATTTCGGGATTGATATACTTGAGGGTTCTTTACGGTGGCAAGGGTGGCAAGGGTGAGGTGTCTGAAACCGGGGGCTAGGGAACTGTAGATCTATGTATGGTCATAATATAACCCATTTCTCATTTCTTTCATTGTGGGAAGATAATTTATGCAGGTCAGTGGTGAAATCCAAATTTTTTTGCTACCGGTTCTGTGGGCATGGCTTGGTGAGCGTGGCTTGGTAGGCATGGCAGGGGAAGGATATTGCAAAATCTCCCTTCCCACCCCACTCTGGGGCCAGCCAGAGGTGGCATTTGCCAGTTCTCTGAACTACTCAAAATTTCCGCTACCAGTTCTCCAAGAACCTGTCAGAACCTGCTGGATTTCACCCCTGATGCAGGTGTATTTCAAGGTCTCCAACAGCTTGCCTTCCGTGTCATGGGTGGATCTCCCTCCCTGCTGAAACAGCAATATAAAGTAGCTGGCAACAAAAAGAATTTGAAAAGCTGAATAGCAGTACCATAAAAAGATCATGAACGAAAATTTTTAAATATCCCTCAGCATCACAAGATTGAGCTGAAATCTGAAACATACAGTATCAAAGTCTGAAAAATTTTGCCAGCTGTTGAAAATTTAGTTCTTCATGGGGGATTTCCTATTTCATATGTTCGATTGATCACAGAATGAATAACTAATATAAATATTTTAATCTGAAATAAGGTCATAATCTAACTTTAGATTTAGGGAGATGGCAGAAGCGTTGCAAAAAATAATTCCCACCAAACATTGTAGTCCTGAAATCCATATCTACCATCTATCTTACCATCATTATCATTTCAGTTTGTCCACGTCAGGTTCATGACCGTGGACAACTAACAATAAATAAAAGAGTATAAAAATTTAAAAAGCAATGCATATAACATTTATAACCATGGTAAAAACAAATTCACTAATAACAACCTGTTGTTTAATTCAGCACGGCCCTCTCAAGGCTGACTGAGGTTAACCATTGAGCCAGTATGATATAAAATGTTAAGGTCAAATCTATGCCTTTCCTCCATATGTTAGGTAAGATCAGGAAAAATAGGGAGCTATTGGTGAAGACTAACTGAAGCCAGGATTTAAGGCATCAGAACCATATAAGACTCTCTATAGCAGTGATGGCTAAACTTTTCTGCCCAAAGTGCGCCCGAACCCCCAAAATGCAATGCGATGCAGCCTCCACACATGTGCCCCACCTCACGTGCGCCCCCACATATGTGCATGCCCATGCGTGCACCGCACCGCACACGGCCCCATGCATGCGCCACAGCTCCCAAGCATGCACGAGCGCCCCACGCACATCCCATGTCCCACACGCACGCAAAGACCAGCTGGCTGGCAGGAGGTGCGCGCACATGTGTAGCAGACCTGAACTGAGATGACGGCTCACGTGCCCACAGAAAGGGCACTGCGTTCCACCTCTGGCACTTGTGCCATAGGTTCTCCATTACAGCTCTATAGAGAACAGCCTAGTTGTCAGATGTCATCAAGATTTGAGACCAGACCTGGGTATTCAAAGCAAAATTCTTAAAAATGCCAATTGGACTTTTTTTCTTCTTTTTTTGAAGGCTTGGATTCCACTGATTGCAAACCCGTGTGCTATCTAACAGAAAACTAATAACTTTCGCTCTGAAAAGTATTATTGTTCAGGATGCATAATTACTACCCTTAGAGTTGATGTAATACAAAATAACATTAGAAAATCTGTGGACCTGTACAAAAATAGCTCATGCTTGTTTTTTTCCAGGCTCCTTGGAGTTGAAAGGAAAAGCCCGGGGATTTAAATAACTTCATTTGTTCAATAAAAAGCCGATTTGTTTTCTGAGAGTGACGGAGATGACAGACCCTTTTTGAGAAACAGCTGTTTTTGTCCTACCATAGTTGACAATTTTTTTTCTCTGCACAATAGGAGGCAGATAGCCATCTCCATAGCAATTAATACCAATTGTTTCAGGTTCCTAAATCTGTCTTTGATTCCCAAAAGGTGGGTGAAGAAGTTAGAGTGAAAGTGAAAATCTCTGAAAGTAATTATTGAGAGGAGAGAGAGAGAGGGTGGGAGAGGAAGGAGGGAGAGGGAGAGGGAGAGGGAGGAGGGGGGAGAAAGAGAAAGAGAGAGAGAGAGAGGTTCGAGAACAAACACTGAAAGTACAAGGCAGAGTTAAAATCCCAGAGTAATATGTTCATGGTCATCCATGCTTAGAACAAACATCGTTAATTTTTATCCATTAAATATGAAGTTGATAGTGGTATATATAGTTATTCTATATACTATATATAGGTGTGTATATATAGTGGTATATATAAGTGAGCATCCTGATGCCTTCTTGATATTTTAGACTATAAGGGTTACTATTTAGAGGAAAGGTGGTTGGTAGTTGAAGTGGAAATCTTCTAGTTAATTTCTGGTTTCCTATCCCTCATGTGATACAAACTGCATTCTGTCAGTCAAGCAAAAGCCCATTTTAGCCCATAATCCTCCATTTTGGTTGGCTGGTTTGGGCTCTCTTCTTGGATCTGGCTAGGCAAGGAACTGGACTTAGCCTTGTTAAAGGAAATCCCGGCTCCCTTTTTTTCTTGCTTTATGTGGTTTCCTGCTCCATCCTGCAGTTCAAGTCCTGCTTTTCTAAAATATTCTGAGACTTTAAGAGACTCTGCTGTGGCTGCAGAGAGAGCCAGTTTGGTATAATGATTAGTGCACTAGGCTAAAAACCAGGAGATTGTGAATTCTAGTTGTGCCTTAAGCTGGGGAGACCTTGGAGCACACCCTCTCTCTCAGCCATGGGAAGGAGGCAATGGCAAACCATTTCTGGGGGAAAAAACTGTGTTAAGAAAACTACAAGTCCCAGTGGTCACGGGGAGTCAAAAAACATGTCTTGAA